TCGTCACCGATCCCACCACTTTTGTACAACGCACATGTCTGAAAAAATTCACTAGAATAAGTATCCACCTGCTAGAGAAGCGTGGGGGCTGCAACAACAGAGCAACTGACGCTAAATCATGGTTCTGGGAAGAGGGGGTGGCTCCGAGAGACAGGGCTGAAGGCGGATTAGTCAGACACCAAACTATGGCAATGAACAAGACCTTGTGCAAGCAAAAGGAAAGTGAGGAGAACAGGAAGACACTCCCTTCCAGATGGAGTTACTATGTCTAGCCACAGGGGGAGCCCAATGGGGATTGTAACTCTTCCCTTTCCTTAGCCCTAATCTGGGATGAAGGGGTGGTCACCCCCATTGGGCCTTCTTGCTAGCACATGCCCAAATCCACACAGCCCTGCTGCTATTTCTCCTCAGTTATCTACTGTAGTTTGCAGACGGGGATGTTGTCCATTGTGAACTGTACCGAGATCACCAGCATTCCAGTGAGAAGGCCAAGAGGCAGCAGGTTTTCAAGAAAGCTGCAGACAAGCACTGGTTGTACCTGTGTCCAGCAGGCCAGCCAGAGCCTTCACGGAGCCCTCTGGAGACAGCGTGCTCTCTTCGCTCCCCTTATTGCCCGCCCCCATGCATTCATTCCGCTAACAGCCAGGGTCAGACCAACACTGAGGGTTGGAGAAAGCTAAGAAGTCTAGCCTGAGCCAGCAACACTTCACGTCAGGCCATTCAGAGTCCCCAGTGTACATGCAAGAGTCAGCAGTTTCCCAGGAACGTGTGTTCCATGTACACAGACCATAGTACTAGACAGAATGCAGGAGGTTCTGCACAGCGGAGCTCCTCCCCGCCCAGCCACCCCCCTTGAGGGCACGTCTTAAGGGTTTCAGCTTTCGGCGGGGATTCCGGGGCGCTGCACGGCACAATCTGAAGGTGGGGAGTTTCCTACGTAATGTTAGAATAGATAAGAGCACCTATCTACTCCCAGCCAGGTGCTGCGAGTAACAAGGCAGGAAGGACATGACTATCAGCACACAAGCTCTCTGCTAATTTTAATAGTTTTCCCTAGAAGCTTTGAGTGTGAAGGAGCCTTCAGCAGTTGGCTGGTACCAGCAGCTTCTGACATTTGGGTTTGAAAATTTTGGGGGTTTTTTTCCCCTTCTGTATTGGAAAGAGACCTGTAGGACTTTACCAGAGCACACATGTACCAACAGATTAGGCTTAACAGAAACCTTGGAATCAATTAGGAAAGTCACTTCTCAGAGCGCAGACACGCCAGGTCTGCAGCGCCGCTCTGCCGAGAGACTCTGACACAGGGAGTGTTGTGCTTATGTCAACGCAAACACCAGTTTAAGAGAAACGTAAAAAGCTTGTGCACGTAGCCTCCTGCCGTTGCCATGTGGGAAGATGAAAATGGGTTACCATGGTTACTACTGCCTGGGAAGAGAATATTCAGCTCAAACCAGAGCCAAAGGTTCATCCTATTAAGCTACAGACACCATCCTGATTAACTAAAGCCTGATGCTGCAGCCGAGTCTGCAAAATTAGTACTACGTCTAATGGATCAGAACAACCCTGCCTGAAAATTTAAATCAGCACACAGCCATTGTTTGAGTTCCAAAACCTAAAACACGTACAGGTATTAGAATCCCAGAGCATGGAGTGCAACAAAGAGGGAACGTGGTACCTGCTCCAAATCTAGTGTAGACAGAACATTCTGATGCAGATAGCAGATCAGATGCCAGGGCAACTTAGAGGTGGGGAGAAATCACACACCGTCATTAACATACAGCATAGATGGCAATAATTTTTTCTTTTTTCCTGCCCATCCTCTCATCACTATTAAAATGTAAAACTAAATATTTACTGCGTATGCTGTCAACACTCAGTTCTAATTAGACACACAAGTGGAACACTAAGAGCACACCACAATGCGGGGCTACTCTCTTCAAAGGAAGAGAGTACATTTTAAAGAAAATCATAGCACCACATTTAACTGCAGTCTTCTTTTGTGGCCATGCATTTAAACCTTCACTGCACTGAGAAAACAACTGCAACCAGAGCCAAATGGAGTTCTGACCATTTCAACAGCCCTGAAAGCGTGTATGGTGTTCACACACTTGGCTTGCCCTGAATGCGTACTTCCCTAATGGTTACATAAACACTGGTGCTACATAAAGAGCATCGAGCAATCCAACTACATTTAAAGACTTCAAGCAAACTTGTCAGGGCTAAAGACAGACTCGTAAGGCACAGGTATCACCCCCCACTATGCCCCTACTGCAAGTCAGGCAGGCTTAGAAAGGGAAACAAGGAAAGATTCCTTCTCCACCAATGAGAAGAAAATTCTGACCACCAGGAAAAAAGCCAGCATGAAATAGGAATTCAAAACCCGAGAGATCACTACACCTGAACCAGGCAAGAGGGAGAAGACAACAAAGAGGCAATCCAATCACTTTTACAGCAAAAGAAGGCTTTCTTCAGAGCTAAGTGTTTTGCAAAGCACTGCTCTCCTGCCACCCTGCTCTAGCTTGAAGTCCCAAGCTGCCTTCATCAGCCATGTTATCCTTGCCACATGGCCAGCATGTTCCACCAGAGTAACTCTCACTTCAAAGCCCATCTGTACAACTAGAGACATGGTAACGTCTCTAAGGTGCCACAAGTACTCCTTTTCTTACTACACATACTGAATCTATTTCCCTATGTTAAGTATCCTCACACCTTCTTATCAACTGTCTAAATGCCATCTTGATCATCACTACAAAAGTTTTTCTCCTGCTGATAATAGCTCAATTAATTAGCCTCTCTCAGTTGTATGGCAACTTCCACCTTCTCTGTATGTGTATTATATATATAATCTTCTTACTATATTTTCCATTCTATGCATCCGATGAAGTGAGCTGTAGCCCACGAAAGCTCATGCTCTAATAAATTGGTTAGTCTCTAAGATGCCACAAGTCCTCCTGTTCTTTTTGCGTCTCATTCTCCTTACCGTTGTATAATCACGTGTTCAGTTACTTCGCAGCCTGCACATGGAAGAGAAGGCAGCCAAAGGGGCTTGACTTGTGCAGCACATCTTTCTTCCCAGACGCAGCACTAAGTCTTAATCATCATGCAGACATTACAGCAGTAATGAAACTGAACTCTCTGCCACCCTGCCTTCTAGAGAGACAAGGGGGGTGAAGTAATAGCTTTTATTGGACAACTTTTGTTGGCAAAAGAAAGAAGCTTTGAGCTACACAGAGCTTTTCTTCAGGTCTGGGCCAGGTCTAGCCCTTGTGTCTCTAATATTCTGGGACCTACATGGTTACAACAAGACTGCAAACAACCCTGTCTTCTAGGCTTTTATCAATTCACCTGCTAGCTATAGTCTTAGATTGCATCAGTATCACTGGCAATCTAGCTAACAAGAATAGACTCAGGATGACCTTACAGCACACTGCTAGTGTCATGCTACATCCTAGTTCTTCTGTACCACTGAAGATCTGTTGGAGCCTTTCCCAGGAAAACGTGCGCCAGAGAAACTTAATACTCGTTACAGAGCTTTCCCCATGGACTCCACTGGCCCACAGAACTCATTCGGTCTTGGGGCTATTCTACCACTAGGATTGCTCATACAAAATATGCCTTTGTTAGCTCAAGTATCTTCATTCTGAAACTTGAGGAGATTACGGAGGCAATGGCAGACGTGATCACTGGACAGTGACATCTCTGGAACCTTGGATAGTTCCAAGACGTTAGCTTGGCTTCAAGACATGGTTAAGGTTCCAGCTAGGCTACTGCTTGGCATCATGTTGTAACTAAGTCAGAGGACAACTACATATTAACCAAACCTCCTGAGGTGCATAGCGTAGGCAGGCCCTTAGGAGACCCTTTTACACACATTTACCCACCCGGTGCGGAGATCACAGAGCGAGGCAGGGAGAGGAGGAAGGGAAGCCACCAATGGGAATACGGAGCTTGCCACAGACCCCTATTTAAATTGCTTCACAGTCCACACAGATTCTACTGGCCAGAAGGAAAGGAAAGGAAAAGCCTTTCGCCTAGGGAACAGGATGGCACCAGTGCTGGCGTGCTGGGAGCACTCAAAGGAGGAAGAACTGGGCTTAGGGGATCACTCCCCTCCCGCAAATACGGACTGAAGTGCCCAGGAAACCCTGACTGGCGAGTTCTGGGATCTACTCAGGAGGCCTCAGCGCAGAACGTGGAGCGACGACATGAAGGTTACATGGATCCCAGCAAGAGTCTGCACAGGTGCGCTGAGCAAGACAAAACTGCCCTTTCACTCTTCGCTGAAATGGCCCAGCCACCTGGAAACCATCTCTGTAGCTATCATTGCACAGTCTCCAGGTAGAGGCCAATCAGGAGGCAGCTACTGCACAATGGCCCTCATCTCAGAAAGGGGAGTTCACCTTTCCCAGCACACCCAAGCACAGACTGCCACAAGCCATCCTGCTGGACTTCTCCAGAGAGGCAATTCCTGTTAGAGGACGTTAACTTAGCTGTTCATTACTGTCCAAGACCTGCCTTACCAGGCCATTCAGCCTTTGCCTATTAGTCTCCAGATTCATTCCCTAGGTTCCTCTTGCTCCAGGATCCCCTCCTCAAGGTGAGCTGCTTGGGACTGGCGTTTCGTATCTCACCACAGTGTTCAGAGTACAGCAAGGGAGAGTCCATACTGGAGGGGACTGGTAAATTATTACCAGCTACGACAGATTATCAGAGAAGGATGCTGTCAGACAGATGGAAAACCCGCGCAGCCAGCCAGTATTCAGTTGCTGATTGGTGGACAGACAGAAGCAACTGGGGAGCAGCCATCATTTTTATTGGCTTTCCAAATATGAAACTGAGGAGAGCTTTTTCGACTGCCCCTCAATACAGGGCTGGCAATCAGGCTCCTAGGACCCCATAAGGCAAGAGCAACTCTCCTGCCAATTAACCTGCTTCATGCTCTCCCGGGAACCAACTTCCCCAGAGCAAAGCAAACGGAACATGGCAGCCTCAGGAGTTACCTGTGAGGATGTTTTCCGACAGCACGTTGACTTGAACTTCCACGGAATGTTTGGAGGTGTAAGTGATTTCCGCACTCACGTGAGCCACTTCACCAATGCACATGGGCGAGAGGAAGTCTGTACGCTCCACACGGGCCAGCGCAGACACACAGTGCTCCTACAAATTGCAGACAAACCATGGTTAGACAGTGTCCAGTGCACCAAACCCAGAGTCACAACAGAAGTGCGTACAACCACCGCCAACCAGACCCAATGGCAGAGTAAGAGTTGGAATACCCCATAAAGGCAGAAGCTTGTCCCTCAAGCTTCCTAGCACACCGTATAAAGGTAGGACCACTAACTAACTAGGAGCTCTTTACAAAGTCCTGCACCATCCACAGTGCTGCTAAGGGCTCTCTGAGCTTCACCAATGCAGACTGGTAACCAGTACAGTATTGGAATTTGGAGTGGGGGCAAGAGACCCTCTGTTTAATTGAGCCAGACTTCCCACCATAAGAGGGACTCCACCTAAATTCCAGACTCATTTAATCTGATCTCCCATCATTATCTTGGTCCTGGCATAGTCCAACACTTTAGATCACAGCCAAAGTATAAAATCAGGCCTGGTTCAATTTTGGTGAGGAGATCTCAGTCCAGTAGAAGTGGTGTCGGATACAAGTGAAGCCTTTCACTCATTAAACACAAACATACTGTTCACTGTCCTGGGACTTTGCCAACCATTTTGTTGATTTAGGGGGGTTGGTTTGAGGGTTGTTTTTTTTTAAATTTTTTTTTTTTAATTCTGGCTCAGAGCTAGCTTTGAACGAAGATTTACAGTTGGATTACATTTGGTGGCTGCTGAATGAGATTAAATTAAATTTGTGGACTGTGCACACAACTCCGATTTTGTTTTGCCACTGTGTGATCAATACATCTATAAAAGAAGGAACTAATGGCGGGAACAGGAGCCCACTGTTCCTTAGGTCTTGTGCATACGTTTAAGAGGCTGCCGCATGCTACATGCTTACCAGAGAGCTGGCTGATAGGAAATGCACTTAAACCCTTATTATTTGCATTGGTGTTAGGAGGGGTTTTTCTGATCACAGAAAATGGAAACTAAACAAGCCATGGAAATCAAGGTACTTAGAGAGAGACAGAGGAACACAGAGGCCTACCCCCAACGAACCAGCCAGGGGAACAGAGAAGAGTAATTTTGCTTTACTATTCAGGGTGTTTAAGTTGCCACAATTTATACAATAAGACATTCGTCCAACCTCAAGAGCCTTCCTGGATTATGCACGCATAGAGAGGAATTCAATTCATTGTTCTGGTTTTGCTCAAAAAGCCCTATTCCAGGAGCAAAGTGAGGGGCTGCAGCACCACCTGCTGGCAACTCAGTAAAGGAAAAGGATTTTGTAGGATTGACAAGATTTTTATTTGGCCAAACTGTAAGAAACACGCACTGACTGTGGGGTGCTAAAATGGAGACTCATTTTTCAGAGGTGCTGCAAGCCGGCAGCTAACATGGGCCCCATCTGAAATTGTGGGTGCTCAGCACCTCTGGAAGTCAGATCCTAGGTCTCAAAGGGGTACCCTAAGATTAAGGCACCCAAAGTCAGTAGATGCTTTTGAAAATCTGGATCTTAGAATTGTGAAACTGAACTCTCTCCACCTCCGAGAGCAAACTCAGTCACCGAAGAGTTATTAGCTAATTCTTATTGCCAACCTCAGAGTCCATCCTGCCCTGTGGCAAGGAGACCTTCGTTTCTACACAGCAGTTTTGCCTGCACTTGAATTATCAGTGTCGTTTACCTACAGCAACCTGGCTCCACATGCAGGCCTCCAGCCCCCATGACAGACACTCATTGCTCCACTAGATCCCGCCAGCACCTGCACTAAATGGGTTCAGCTACAGCCCCAGCGGCCCCTGTTAGTGCTGCAGAACCAGGCTTGGCAGAACCCCCCTTTTTTGGGGGTGGGGGTGTGCAATTGATTTGAATTTTTCCAATATAACAGTTTTTACAGTTGCAAGAAATTAAGGGGGGGAGAGGAGTCAGAGCTGGGGTTAGGCAGAGCTCGCAGCAGGGCTACAGAGGGTTCCCAGTACTGACAGCAGGGGGCTGCCCCTGTGAGGGAGGCCGCACTTGTGCTGACTGTTACCAAGTTTTTCATCCATTTCAGTGTGTGGGCTGAAATCGACGTTTATATCAAATCCTGCCAGGCCTCTAACCCCTCTCAGCCAGCGTTCAGAGCCACTCTGATTTCTGAGATTCTCCAAGCACACTGCAAAGGCAGCCTGCTCTCTGCATGCCTGGCCAGCGGTCTGTGGAAGCAAGAGACCAGTTAAGGGGAGCTGGTCAGGCTTTTAGGGCAAAGGTAACAGACCAATGTTGCTTAATGAAAAAAAAATGGTGAGTGTCACTTTTAATAAAACACTTAATGACATGAATAAAGCATCTCTAATATTAAACAAAGAATAAAGCAATACAACTATCAAATCACCAAGTTAGTTCTGATACTGGAGTGGAATTGAGCCAAAGTAATGCCAAAAATTATCAATCCTTATATAAATTTTAGGAAGGACTCTTCTGTGGTGGCTGACTATCTGGTTATAGAGCCCAACTAAAGAATGTTACCAAATATATAATTTGAATGGAAATATCTTAACACTGAAACCAAATCCCCCAATGTCTCCCCCACAAAACCAAAGAATTATAAAGCTTTCTTCTTAGACTTCATTTTGCATAACTAACACTGCCCTCCTATCCAACCCCCCACCACCCACCCATAATATAGTATAGACCAACAGAACATGCCTGATAAGAAGTCTGACAACTCATTTAGCAGACAGATTAACTGTCTGAGACTCGAGGTTGACACAGAACACACTTTCTTTATGAGACAATATTTAGGGCTGTTTAAAACCTGGAAACACTTTCAGGTGCTTGCCTGGTGTGGACTTTAGGGATGGGGTCACACAGACATGCACACAACCTTTTACTTCTAGGGTGTGGAAGTGACAAAAAGGGAAAATATACATAAGATAACAGGGAGTTCGGCCTCTTTAGCTCTCGCAGTTTCCTGGACACTCAGAGTGGGAGATGGAACTGCAGCCAAGGAGTGAGATGGTGATGTTCTGCTGGCACAGTGCTTCTTGCTAGAGGGCGTCCTTCCAGTGCATGGAGAGATGGGTCAGAGGCTGGCACAGCTTGTTTCATGTGGTGACTTCCTCTCCGCAAGGAGATCAGTCTTGGAGACAGATTCCAGAATCTCTCTCAGGTGTTGACTAAAAAGGCTTCTTGGCCTTACCCTTGATTCTTACAGTTTGCAAACTTCCCGTACAGCACCTCCCTCCAAGGCCTTCAGACAAAATCAGGTGCAAGGCAGACCTAACGGCCAACAAGTTGGTCTAATCAGGTTTGAATCAGAATCCTCAGAAAGCACCAGTTTGGAAAAGGCTTACTTAAATCAGCAACTTAAAAAATATTAAGGGTTTTACCAGACACTATGTCTGACTACACTCCCTCCCCTGCAAAAAAAACAAAACAAAAAATCCAAACACATGAGGCCACTTTTGAGGAAAGTGACAGAGTCTTAAAATGACACTATGTCACCAGTTTATGGAAGTTCAATATACCAATAGCTAACTGGAAAAATCCTAGCAACAAAGCCAGTCACTCAACATTCATTCAATCAGCAAAGTTCAAACTGATCAGTTTCATCATCTCTAGTTTCTTCTTCCACCTTCCTCTTGTAGAACTGGGCTGTACGTCAAACAGCTTATCTGAAATCTTCATCTCACTAGAGGAAAGCTACTTTGAAGTCTACCAAGATGAACACAACTTTGAAGTGCTATACAGGATCTGTATTCCTATAGAAGCTAGCTGTCCCCAGGGGAGAGGTATATTGAAAGTGCAGGGGGTCAAACCAAGTTGCTGTACATCTTTCAGAAAAAAAGGGCCCCATTCAGATGCAGCCTAGGGGCCTCCAGTCAGACTCTGAGCCTAAAATTGGAGTCATCCAGATAGACTCGTGCCCACCTGGAGCCCCTGTGAAGTCAACAGCCATGCAAAGATCGGCCCCCACGGATCAGATTGCAGGATCAAGCTCCATGGAGCAGGCTGCTCCACTGGCATCTAGCTTAACAGTTCTAGGTTAAGGGGTCTGCAGTTCCCAAACCTGCCTTCTGCCCGGAGTCGCCAGATCTAAGATTTGGTGACTAGGACATGTTGCAAGGAGCACCTTCTCCCTCTGCCCCGCCTAACAAGCTCTGGGGCCGGTGCACTAAGTGAAGGCTGGGGAGACCTTAGGTAGATGTTTCCAAATAAGGCTTTGCTGGGGCTGAGAAGGGTTTCTGGATGCTTGTTTGTAAGAATGTATTTTGTTACCATTTGTAGATTTATTTGTTTACACTTTGTTCGTATCCACAGGCCTCAATCAGGACCAGAGCCTCATCCTGCGAAGACTGCATTCACAGGCAGAGAAGGGCCCTGACCTGAAGTAGCTAGCCATCTGCCTTGTATTAGCCGAGAACAAAGAGAAGGGAAGAGGGGCAGGGTTGACACAGGTAATTAAGAAGTCATTCAATTCCATAAGCTGGCTAAGATGCAACTGCTTCAGTTAAAGTCAGAGACAAATAATCAGCAACACCCACAGGAAGTCTCTAGCTGGTTATTCCAGACAGTGTTTCCCTTTGTTACTGATAGGCCTCTTAAACTTGTAGTTATTACTTTTCATAGAAGTGACTCATGGCCTCTGGTATACACAGTAGTGATCAATGCGACAAGACACTATAAGTGTGGCAAAGACTGTTGAAGGATATAGTATATTGTATTTGAGACCGACTAGGAACCTGGAGAGATGATACTGTAACACAAAAATAGGCAGAGTTATGGCATCTCAGACATGTCTACACAGAGACAACCAGGAAAGTTATTCAGAATTAACTAAAAGTATGAATTTGAAGTAGATAAATTAAACCACAATAAACCCATGTGAACACCTTAATTCCATTTAGCTTTTAATTGACTCAGTGAATTAAGCTACACTGAAGAAAATTAACCTAATGTAAAGAAGGGTAATGTAATTAATTTAAATTAACATAAGCTTATGGAAAATAGACCCTGTCACACTAGCTTGATATATTTTTTTGATGCAATTATAAGTTTGGTAGATAAAGGTAACAGTGTTGATGTAACAGGCTTCTGTAAGGCATCTGACTTAGTACCAGGACATTTTGATTAAAAAGCTACAGTGATATAAAGTTAACAGGGTGCACATTAAATGAATTAACAATTGGCTCACGGATAGGTGTTAATGTAACTGTAAATGGGGAATCACTACTGAATGGGCATGTTTCCAGTGGGGTCCCACAGGGATCGGTTCTCGGCCCTACACTATTTAACATTTTTATTGATGACCTGGAAGAAAACACAAGATCACTGATAAAGTTTGCAAACACAAAAATTGGGGGACTGGTAAATAATGGAGAACAGGTCACTGACTCAGAATGATCTGCATTGCATGGTAAACCATAAGCAAACTATGCACTTTAATACAGCTAAATGTAAACGTATACATCTAGAAGGAGAATGCAGGCCATACTGACAGGATGGGGGACTCGATCCCAGGAAGCAGCGATGGACAAAGATTTGGGGATTGTGCTGGATAATCAGCCGATCATGAGCTCCCAGTGCGATGCTGTGGCCAAGAGAGCTAATGTGATCCTGAGATGCAGAAACAGCGGAATCTCAAGTAGGAGCAGAGAGGTTATTGTACCTCTGTATTCACCACTCGTCTGACCGCTGCTGGAAACCTGTGTCCAGTTCTGGTGCCCACAATTCAGGAAGGATGTTGATAAATTGGAGACTGTTTCAGAGAAGAGCCACGAGAATGATTAAAGGATTAGAAAACCTGCCGTTATATTGACAGACTCATGGAGCTCAATCTATTTAACTGACCCCTTAACCTACTCTATTAACATGATGTACCTATGTAGGGAACAAATATTTAGTGATGGGCTCTTCAATCTAGCAGAGAAAAGTCTAACAAACCACTGGCTGGAAGTTGAAACTAGACAAATTCAGACTAGAAATAAGTTGTAAATTTTTAATGATGAGTGGTTAACCACTGGAACGATTTCCTAAGGGGTCATGGCAGATCCTCCATCAGTGACAGATATCATGCAGAGGACAGCAGACCACATGCACTCTGTAACAAGTTATGCAAACATCTCTGCTAACAGCAATTTAAAAGGATAGGAATGTACTAAATTCAACAACACTGCTCCAAGAGCGAAGATACACTACATTCCAGTGGCCAGGGCAGTGACCAACAGCTTATTTCCCCAATACCCACCTTTGAATAGTCCAAGTTTGAAAGGTGACAAAAGTAGCTTGAAGTCTAAGACAGCCCTTTAAAGACTTCAGAAGACAGGCCCTTTTGGAAAATCAATAGAAAGATCACAGATGTGCTGTAAGCCTTGGAAGGTATCAGTCCTGTCTAGCTTTGGGCATATCAATTCGCTGTTAAATAGAGACAAAAACTTCTGTTTCCGAAGTGGGGAAAAAAGGGGAAGAGAAGAGACTGAGTGAAGTACAGTGCTTCTCTCTCCAGGAAATCTCAAACCTTGGGAGATAACTCACTAACAGAGTATACTCCCAGCCACTCGCAAGGTTTAGGTCTTCTGAACTTTAAGGAAGACAGGGCCATTCATTTTTAAATGAAATGGAAAGAGGGGAAGGAAATTGCTAGTTTCACCCCTAGCATGCCAATAGAAAGTGCTGACATCTGAAACTTCCGTGTTTTCCACTAGATGGCATTTCTAAAGAAAATGACACCAACGAGATACCAGATCAGACACCTATCTATGTACAGAGTTGAGGGCCAGATGCCTCACTCACATTTACTGCCTTGGGACTGATCATGCAAGAAATGGGAGCTAAGGCTGCATGACTAAGTGAAGAGAAGCCGGAAAGGCAAAGGTGAAGGTTACAACAGCAACATAACCACAGTAAACATCCTGTACAACACAGACAAACACCATCATCTACAGAGAACCACCACGGGAATGGGAAAGGCACACACGCTACTTGATGTGGGGACATGAACGTTGGTTGCTGCCATGATTTTCTCCCATCCTTGCGGTTCTCTTCTTGTGATTTTCAATGAAACATGGACAGACTCACTTGGGTCCTTCCAAGTTGTTGCCAAACAACATGGGGCTGGGCAGTTTTACATTTGACCCTGTGTCAACAGCTGCAGCTGGAATGGACGCTCTCCGGCCGCAACAGTACGTACCCCTGCCTGGGAATTGCAATGTCGGGTGCTGATGATGGCACCTGCCTCTTCGATCATTTTCAGGATGGTCCCTCCATGGACATTCCCTGCGATGTTTGCATCATCCGGACGCATTATCCTGCAATGGATGAGGAAAGATATAATATCTCACACTTCAATTCTTATCCCATGCCCCCTCGCCTAGAGAGTTGCTGGAGAGCCAGCCAGCCTGAAGAACGTCACAGCACAGCTAATCCCTTCACTTCCAGTCCAACTCCAGCCACGGTGCCTTTCCCAGCAAGAGGGAGAAGTGCAGCAAACCAGCCCCTGAAGCGAGCACAATTTAACCTGAGATAATAGGACTGAAGGGAGTAATTCAGAATGCAGTGGATGGGGCAGGCCAACAGAGTTTCCTGTTAATTTCACTTTCTGCTTCTTTTACAACTAATTTAGTGCTGGTGAAAGGGGCCAGAGTCCCAGACAACATCCCAGCCCTCCTCACCCGAACCCCATTTGTCAGAGGATCTTGAAGTGCTTTACCAACTGTAATTAACCCAGCATGATCATTCAGTACAATCCCCATTTCACAGAGGGTTAATGAGGCCTGGGGCCCAACCCCATACCAGTTAGTGACAGAAGTAAGAGCACCCAGATGGCTTAACTCCCATTTCCCAATTGACCAAGCTCCCTTCCCAAAAGTTGGGAGGAGTTTGTTTCTGCTACGACATAATTCCCGACAGACTGTTTAGAGAAAGCAAGATCCCTCCAAAATAGCATAGCTAACAGGACAAGTAGCCTCTGTCAAAGCCTACAGGTCAGGTACACAGCTGTCAACAGACCTCCCTGAAAGACAATCTGTCCACACTAGGAGCGTGGCCCAAAGCAGACAATAGTCAACAGGACCAGCCACTTCGCCCCCACCAAGTGGTATCAAGAATGGCTTAATTGTGAGCAGAGGGGACCAAAAGCATAGTCAGCACCACATCCTACCAGGACTTGGCCTCACCCTCCATAACAAGGCAAGGTGGTTGTGACACACTGACAGCACAGCTCAACAAGCTGAGAGGGTCACGGCCAGCAGCGGGGCATTCTGAGAATGTGCGTCCTGTAGAAAGTGACCTATAGGTTTCACAGTGATATTTAGAGAGTCTTTGAAGCACACAAGCAACCCCAAGTGAGCAACAAACTTAGCTAGGTGCTTTTTCCATCACAGCTTTCAGATAGACCATATGTGCGGTGGACTAGTCATTTAATGAAAGCCACCCAGAATGCCACTACGTCACAAGAAAGCCCCTTCTCCACATCCTCCCAGGGAGGAGAATTCCAGAGAGTGGTCAATGTAATTGCCCCTGTGCTCCTGCCATCCAGATGGCAGTAGCGCTGTGAGGGATCACGACTGCTGTACCCATCCCTGTTCAATTGAAAACAATGCAAAGTAAAATCCATGGTAACCATATCTTTTCCCCTCCCTTACCATAACTATGGTTACCAAACCACAAAACCATGTTAGAGATAGCGTGTCAAACACAGTGATGGTTAGGCAGTTTGACACATACTCTCCGGCAGATATGATGAATCAACAATTCAGGCTCATTCCAGGCAGGAAGAGGTATGATGGTCTCTCACTATAAGCCAGAGTGAAGTCAAACGTGGCATCCCTTGCAGAGTTATGTGTAACGGAGCAGCCTCCCAGCTTCCTGTGCCATCACTCTCTTCAAATCCCACCTGAACGCTCACCTTTGTGAGGTTTCTTACACTGATCCTCTCACCAATGCTGGATCTGAACCAGAGGCCGCAGACCCAGGGGTGGAGGAGGCTAGACCCCCACTCTGGAAATACTGCGGGGACTCCGCTCCTGCATGAACTTGTGCATGCCAGAGAGGGGCAAAGGTGAAAGCAGGATCCAGAGGGGCTGGAGGAGCTGCCATAGCAAAAAGGAGTGAGCCAGGGAGCAGGACCTGGACAGACTGGAGAGGGCCTGGGAGCATGTAGGAGCCCCTGGGATGATACTCCGCCGCCAGGAGCCAGCAGCTTATCAACCACATACACCCAAGTCTCAGTACCTCCCACTCACCCCCCTTCCTATCCCTCTGGCCCCCATTCACAGGGAGTCTCCTCCCTGACTGCTCTGGACCGTCTCATGCCTGACCTGTCACCTCTCAGTCTGTTTGAAAGCTCTTCAGGGCAGGTCTGTTTTAAGGCACTGTGTCAGGCCATCACCTGCACAGCAGATCAGCTTTTAAAGACCCTGAAAAACTAAAGCTGTACCAAACACCCCTAGCAACTTCAGCATCTCATTCACTGATCAGACTTCTGCGAGACAAATCAGATGTAAGCTGCGGAAGCCATTTCCAGATAGCATTATCTGGACATACTATATAAAACAGAACAGGTATTTCTCTTTTTAACAACTGCATAGCTGGTAGCTTTATTAATTATTATTACTACTACTATTATACAAAATGGTTTCCAAAAAAAGTTCTTTTAAAAGAAAACCAATCCACTTGACTAATTGTGGATTACTGGGTTGATGGGTTTAGGAGGTGGGGGATCACCACCGGGCATGGCTGCGTTAGGCCTCAGGTGCAGAAATCAATTCAAGGTGCAGCTACTTCTCCGCAATTTGGGCCACATATACTGGAGAGACAGCACCTGAGAGGGATGGACCGTTGGACCAATCCGACCTGTTGCGAACACTTTCTGTATTCATAGGAATTAGCGTAACGTAACAGAACCAACCCACGAGCACAGTATTTGCTACTAGAGCAGCAGCTGGCGTGGGCACTGCTAAATCAAAGAGTTGAAACAAAGTGCAGAAGACTTCCAAACCCACAGCAATTGCATTCTACAGTTCCAGCTGGATTTCAGTGCAGGCAGTCGCTTATGAAAAGCTGTCCCCTTTGAGGGGGAGAGCAGGATGAATAACTGATTTTTTTTTTTATTTGCTATCAGTTCCAAAAAATTCAGGTCAAACCAAGTTCAAATGGTTTGGGAATTTTCAGCACATCAAAAACGATCTATTCTGGGTCGAGTGAAACAAGCTGGCTGATCCGAAACATTTTGTTTCTAGGTACTTTTAAAAGACTAGATTCACAAAACAGGAGGTGGTGGTGCTTGGCATATAACCTTTAGCCCAGCGGTTAGGGCACTCACCTGGGGTGGGGAAGACCCAGGTCCAAAGCTCCAGGCTATAGTGCCTCTCACTAGCCCAACGACTATTCATGTATTTGATATGAAGCACCCTCCCCACCCAGAATGCCCAATATCCTGGTGATCAGAGCGCTCACCATGTGGGGAAGGGGTGCCTACATTCAAATCCCTGGTGCAGAGGGAGATTCAAACCTGGGGGAGTGCCCTATGCCCTGGGCTAAAGGTTGTCAAAAGGGCACCACCACCACCATCTCCTTGTTCTCTGGCTGTGGTAGGGATGGCAACCAAGTCCCCTTGTTGCCATCTAGTTCCCCTTCCCACAACTATTCGGGAAATGTGTCAAATTCACAGATATCTCCAGGTCAACCAAAACTGTTTTACTGGGGAGCAAATAATCTTTGTCTGAAAAAAACCTGCCCAGCTCTTGTGAGCACCTGGAACAACCCCCCCCCCCCCCCGTATAGATTTATATGCAGCCTGACAGTCTAATCTGCTACAGCCACACGGCCTAGAGACAAGACTGTCACTGAGAACTTCCTCCTTGAGAGATCAGCTATAGCTAGACTAGCCCCAACTGCTTTCACTATTTTCTGTCGTCCTTGCCTAGGAGACTCGCACATTGTAGTTTTCATTCGTACTCCCAGTTACTATGCAGAATTCAGACACACACAGAGTATACAAGAGAAGCATAAATGTCCCATACCCGATGAGCTGACAGGCCATCCTTGTGAGGAACAGACCGAGTCTTTGAATCTGTGTAACTCTCCAGAGTCAGACCTGGGACCGGGCTTGGAGTTAGACTCATTCATTATTTGCATCACACACCACAGCTGGTGATGTCATTTCTGCTGCTCCAGCTCAGTCACAAATACCAAATTAAGAGCCTAGTGGCTTCCTGTGTTGCTCAATCAAATATAGGAAGATGGGTCCTTAGCCAATCAGAATGACGAGCTTAAAACTAGCTTGTGATGGAAAACCTTCTGTTATAAATAATTACAAAAGAGTCAGTCCCCAAAGCTGTTCCTTCCCACAGGAGATCCAGTCCCTACTGGGCTGCAAGCAGCTGGCTGCAGTGCTGAACACACTGCATGCCCAGGAAATGCAAACAAGGGCCTGACAGGCAGTTTGCCAGGAGTCCTCCCACCCATTTCCCAGGGCCACCCCCACTTTGCACCTGAGGTTTAGTCAAAACCCCTGCTACATTTGCTTCTGGGACTGCACTGATGGATGAACAGAAATCCCTGCCTGTGTCCCCGGTCAGCCAGCTCTGTCCTCAGCCCGCAGATCCAGGGAGAGGGGCGTGAAGGCTGCAGGACTACACCATCCACACTGGCGCCTCAGCACAGAGATCCGTGTGGAACAGGCTCCCCACATCCATGTGCACAGAGCACTGGATTCCTCCATTCCAGGAGTTATTCCCCCACCCCGGGCTATTCCTGCTACAGCAGTGGATAGTGCACCTAGACAGCAACCCATCCCAGTTCTTAACATCCAACGGGTGCAGGAGAGGATCGGGGGACGATCAACAACAGTAACATCCTTTAAAGGCTACACAGAGAGCAGAGACTCATAGAAGGGACCTGGATTCCTCACATCCTCCGTTTGGTTTGAAGTCCAAGCACTGCCCTGCCAGAGCAGACCATTGGCCCAACTAATCTGGTACCTTGCCCCGGCAGTGGCCAATACTAGACAGTCACACATACATCACCACGTCAGTTTTACTATTCTGCAAGTTTCTCCCCTGGCCTTGTGGTGAGGCACTTCTGCCCAGAAGCACTAAATGACAAGTCTCCGCAAAAGAACTCACCCCTCTTAGACTGGGCCTGATCCTGCGTGGAGAGAAGCTCCTGCCACTCCCATGGCTGATGCAGATGTGCAGCCCCTCACAGGATCAGACCCTTGTGGGACAGAGGAGGAGCCATGAGGAAAGAACAGGTTTCCCTTTTCCTAGCTTGCAGTCACTTAGTTAAGAATTGCAGTCATTCAGCA